TTCTCTCTCTCTCTCTGTTCCTCTCTCTCCCTCCCACTCTACCTGAACAAAAAATGGAAAAATGTCCTCGGGTGAGGATAAAAAAAAAAAAAAAAGTTCATATGGAACCAGAAAAAGACCCCGAATAGCCACAGCAATCTTGAAAAAGAAGGACAAAGTAGGTGGGATCACAATACCAGATATCAGGTTATACTACAAAGCGAGTGTAATCAAAACAGCCTGGTACTGGCACAAGAACAGGCATATAGACCAGTGGAACAGAACAGAGAACCCAGAAATGGACCTAAGACATTATGTTCAATTAATATTTGACAAAGGCAAGAGCATACAATGGAGTAAAGACAGCCTCTTTAATAAATGGTGTTGGGAAAATTGGACAGCTACATGCAAAGAAATGAAACTAGACCATCAATTTACACCATACACAAAAATAAACTCAAAATGGTTAAAAGACTTAAATGTGACCCGTGAATCCATAAAAATCCTAGAGGAAAATGTAGGCAACAAAATTTCGGACATCATACGTAGCAGAATTTTCACTGATACATCGCCTAAGGCAACAGAAAGAGAGGAAAAATGAACACATGGGACTACATCAAACTGAAAAGTTTCTGCACAGCAAAAGAAACAACCACCAAAATGTAAAGGCAACCCACTCTATGGGAGAGCATCATTGCCAATGGTACATCAGATAAGGGATTAATTTCCAAAATATATAGAGTACTCAAACAACTCAACAAAAGGAAGACAAAGAACCCAATTAAAAAATGGGCAGAGGAGCTGAATAGACATCGCTCCAAACAGGACATACAAATGGCCAAGAGACATATGAAGAAATGCTCAACATCACTAATCAACAGAGAGATGCAAATTAAACCAATGAGGTATCACCTCACACCTGTCAGAATGGCTGCCATCAACAAATCATTAAACAACAAGTGTTGGCGAGGGTGTGGAGAAAAGGGGACACTAGTACACTGCTGGTGGAAATGCAGACTGGTGCAGCCACCATGGAAAACACTATGGGGTTACCTCAAAAAATTAAAAATTGAATTTCCATTTGACCCAGTGATCCCACTTCTAGGAATATACCCTAAGAAGCCTGAAACACCAATCAGGAAGAATATATGTACCCCCATGTTCATAGCAGCACTGTTTACAATAGCTATGATCTGGAAACAGCCCAAGTGTCCATCAGTAGACAAATGGATAAAAAAGCAGTGGTACATATACACAGTGGAGTACTCTGCAGCTGTAAGAATGAAAGATCTCTTATCCTTTGAGACGACGTGGAGGGACCTGGGAAGTAGTATCCTAAGTGAAACAAGCCAAACAGAGAAAGACAAGTTTCATATGATCTTACTTGTTTGTGGAATATAATGAACATAACAGTCTGAGGAATAGGGTAGACCCAGAGACGTCGAAGTAGGGTACAGACTGACCACCCTTAGAAGAGGGGGTGGTGGTGGTGGTGGTGGTGGGGGAGATAAACCACAGAACTTATATGCATGTGCGCATAACCAATGGACATGGACAACAAAGCCAGGGACAGGTTGGGGGCATTGGCGAGGAGGGTGTCAATGGGGTAAAAAAGGAGAAACCTCTGTAACAAAAATAAAATTAAAATAAAAAATTCTGTTGTACTAAAAAGCAGTATTTAATTAGTTTTCTGTCAATGAATATTTGTTTTTAGTTTGTTTTGCTTTACTCAGGGACCTTCCTTTTAGATAATCTTTTGGTGTTTCCATGACTATATACTTATTTGTAATTCATAGAATTTGAATTGCTTTTCCAAAGGGTAGGCACATTTTTAAGACTTTTGATAGTTATTCCTGTTTTGCCCAACAGAAGATTTGTATCATTTTACTCTTTTTGCCTAACTGATAGATACAAATTAGTATCAATTTTTTTCTTTAAGATTATAATCTTTAAGGCTGAGAAATTTAGGGCAAAGTTAACAATCAAAATCTGATTATAGTTTAGGTAAACACGATAAGCATTGTGGCAGTGCTCCAGCGTGCAGTGTTTTGGTTTGCAGTGTTTGACGAAATACTGAACAGCTATAATTATTTTGCTTTTAGTTTATGACATTTTCATAAATTAAAAAACCCTCAAGTGGTTATTATTAGATTTCCTCAAGTTACTTTTTGTTGGAGGTTTAAGTCTAGAGCATGTAGTTACTGCAGTCGCCAACTAGCAGCAAGCTCATCTCCTGGCCTGCATTTAAGTACAGTACTAGAAAGACTGTGATTCCATCATCTGGATAGGAAAGAGGAGTGGATGACCAGATGGTAAATATTTTTTAATTTCTTGTTAATTCTCAACCAAGGATATTTTTTCCATTGATTTTTAGAGAGGGTGGAAGGAGGGTGGGTTGGAGAGAGAGAGAGAGAGAGAGAGAGAGAGAGAGAGAGAGAGAGAACACATCAATGTGAGAGAGACCCATTGATTGGTTGCCTCCGGTACCCACCCGGACAGGGGGAAGGGATCAAACCTGCAACCCAGGTAGGTACGTGTCCTTGACTGGGAATGGAACCCTCAACCTTTGGTGCTTTGGCTGCTGCTCTAACTACTGAGCCCCACCAGCCAGGGCCAGATGGTAAATATTTTTAATATGGCATCAACCTTTTATTTTAGTGAACTTGATTACAAATTAGCCTAGGTAAATAATGCCCAAAAGTCAAATACAGTGATACCTCGGTTCTCGAACGCCTTGACTTTCGACCAAATCGGTATTCGACCAGGAGATTCGAGAAACTTTTGTCTTGGAATCCGAACAAATATTTGGAACTCGAACTTCCGAGATGAGCCGAGTTGAGCCGAATGGCGTTCATTCGGCCCAGCGCGCCTTGCTCGCGTCATCAGTGTGAGTGCAGAGAGAGAGTCACGCTTTGTGGAGAGAGTCACGCTTTACACTGAATTTAACCCTTAGACATACTGTACACTTTTATTTCTTGTTGAGACTTATGTTTTTCTACATATTATATACAAATTAGGCCAGTAAATAGGCATTTTCTGGGGCTTGGAACGAATTAATCCAGTTTCCATTATTTCCTATTGGGTTTCATTGCTTCGGTTCTCGAACAATTTGGTTCTCGACCGTCCTCCTGGAACGAATTATGTTCGAGAACCGAGGTATCACTGTTACGTGATAATTGTATAAGCAATGATATATCCCACATTTAGAACTATTTGTTAGGAAGTATGTTTAGTACTTTTATCAGATACATTAAGTTCCTTTTTTTATGCTTTTCCTATGAATAAGAATACCAGAATCCACACAATTATAGCCTCTTACATACTCAGATTCCTCAAGGTCACCTTCCACTTATCAAATTTGATGATCTTTTCTGTTTCACCGTAGCCTCTCAGTAGCAATCAAAACTGTTAACTATGAAAATGAGGGGGTGGGTAGAGAGGGGTGGGGAAAAAAAAACCACATAAAACTGTTAACTATGCCATTCCTTTTAAAAATTATTTTTTCCTTTGGAATTTGCAATTCAGTTCTCTCCAGATACTCCTTCAACCCTTTGGCCACTCTAGAATTATATCCTCAACCCTTTTTTCTTCTTTCTTTTCTGTGTTCTTTCTTTGGGAAATTTTATTCATGCCTATAAACTCTATCATATTATACCGTCTGATGATTCCTCTAAATCTGAGTTTCTAATCTTAACTTTCCTTCTAAACTCACAGAACTCTGTTTATTTTTCCTGCCAGACATAGGAAATAACAGAGCCTGTCACTGGTCTGTCTGTCCACAAATTCATATTCCAGTCGGTCATCCTTCTAAAACAGGGTTAATTAACCATGTCACTCATTTGATTCAAAATCTTCTAAGCATTCCCAGAAACTAGAAAACCTATGAAGCCATTTTCCCATTTGCCTCTTGTATGTCTAAATCTGACATTCTTCTCACTGTTCCCCAGAGATAGATAGATAGATAGATAGATAGATAGATAGATAGATAGATATACACACACACACACGCCTTAACACCTCTCTGCCTGTCCTCATGGTGCTCCCTATATCTAGAATCCCTGCTCTAGCACACACCTCAGTATGTCAAGATCTTGTTTCTTATCCAAGGCCCAGATCAAATATCACTTCCTAAAATCATTGTTCACAAGCTCCCTAACTTGTGTTTTTTTTAATATATATTTTTTATTTTTCCATCACCATTTATCCCCTCTATGCCTCTCCCCCTCTCAGTCATCACACTATTGACCATGTCCATGAATTCTTTCTCCTTTTTTTCTTGCTTAGTCCATCCACCATCACCCCCAGCCACCCTCACCCAGAGCTGTCTGCCTGCTCTCTATCTATGAGTCTGTCTCTATTTTGCTTGTTAGTTCAGTTTGTTATATTCTACATATTCGTGAAATCATGTGGTACTTGTCTTTCTCTGACTAGCTTATTTCACTTAGCATAATGCTCTCTAGGTCCATTCATGCTGTTACAAAAGGAAAGGTTTCCTTTTTTACAGCTGAGTTGTATTCCATTGTGTACATGTACCACAGCTTTTTGATTATTCTAATTATGCTACAAATCCGTAATAGTGAAAGAGGTACAATCTTATTTTTATTTTAAGTAATCACAAATGTTAAAAGATTATATTTAAAGATCAGCTTATATTTTATTTCAAAAACTTCACGTTAGAGAAAAATATAACAAGTTTTGTTTGTCATGTGTACGTTTTCTGCTCTTATCCAGATTTTAGCATAAGAAATCATTAGATGTGATACATCCTTGTAAAACAGGATGCTCCTCTAAGTTAATTTATTTTTAAATTCTGTTAGTGGTTTTATTTTGAAAATAACTTTATTAAGATAAAGTGGGCTTAAATTAAAAAACTCTTGAGATTTATATTTATTAGTCAGTATAGCAAATCACTTAAATGGTAATATATTTGAATTACATTTTACAAACTAAAACTGCAGGAGTGATTTGAACATTATTTTGTGTTTCATACATCATCATTCCCCTTGTTCTCTTTTTAACAGCCAGAAATCACTGTGGAAAATCTTCCCACTTACTTACAGCTTCAGAAACCATTACTTATCTTATTCAGTGATGGCAGCATAAACCCTCAGTATCAAAAAGCAATATTGACCCTGGTAAAAGAGAAACACCTGGATTCAGTTATCCCTTGCTGGTTAAATCTGTAAGTATGTTGTTATCTTTTAATATATAAAAGGTAAAGAAAGTATACTTATTATATTTTCATTAGAAAATGAAACCCTCTCACTCTACCTTTGGAGTTAATATTTTGGGACCATGTATATGTCGTGATCTTTTAGTAACTAAACTCTCTCAGATGCTCTAAAATGTCTTTTTAGATGAAATTCTATTCTACAGTAATTTTTTTCTGTGTTTTTTTTTCAGCCTTATTGAGGTATAATTGACAAATAAAATTGTAAGATATTTAAAATTATTGTGATGATTTGATATATGTATACATTGTGAAAAAATTCCTCCATCTGCCCTGACCAGTTTGGCTCAGCGGTTAGAGCGTTGGCCTGCGGTCCGGAGAGACCCGGGTTTGGTTCCCGCTAAGGGCATGTACCTCGGTTGCAGTTTGTCTCCGGCCCTGGTTGGTCGTGCGGGTGGCAGCCACTCGATGTGTCCCTTTCACATCGATGTTTCTCTCTCTCTCTCTCTTCCTCTCTCTCCCTCCCACTCTATCTGTACAAAAAACAAAAAAACAAATAAACAAAAAATTCCTCCATCTATTTAATAACACATCCATCACCTCACCTATTTATACACACACACACACACACAAATTGGGGTTGGGGAGAACATTTTAAGTTTACTCTCCTAGCAGATTTCAATTATATACTATAATCATAGTCACCATGTTATACATTAGCTCTTGAGACATTATTACAGCTGAACATTTGTACCCTGGCAACTACTTTTCTGCTGTTTCTATGAGTTAGACTTTTCTTTTTTAGATTCTATATTTAAATGATACTGTGCAGTATTTGTCTTTATCTGACTTATTTCACTTAGCATAATGCCCTCAAGGTCCATCCATGTCATAGCAAATATCAGAATTTCCTACTTTGCCATGGCTGAATAATATTACATTGAATGCATGTGTGTACATACATATACATACACACACTACATTTTTTTTTATCCCACTTGAGGACATTTTTCATTTTTTATTCAGACAGAGCAGGAGGGAGAGAGAGGAAGAGAGAGAGAGAGAAACATCGATGTGAAAGGGACACATTGAGTGGCTGCCACCTGCATGACCCAACTAGGGCCAGGGACAAACTGCGACCGAGGTACATGCCCTTAGCGGGAACCGAACCTGGGTCTCTCTGGACTGCAGGCCTACGCTCTAACCGCTAAGCCAAACCAGCTAGGGCTACATTTTTTTTTTAATATTTTTTTTCTTTATTGATTTTAGAGAGAGAGGAAGGGAGAGATGAGAGATAACATCAATTGGCCACCCCCTGCATGCCCCCCACTGGGGATCTGGCCCACAACCTGGGCATGTGCCCTGACCAGGAATCAAACTGCATGCTGGGCATGTGCCCTGACCATGAACTCTTGGTGCATGGGTCAACACTCAACCAGCGAGCCACACTGGCCAGGCTACATTTTCTTTATTCATTTATAATGCTGCAGTGAATATGGGAGTGCATATATTCTTTGATACCCTGCTTTTATTTTTATTTTTTTGGATATATACCCAGATCTGGGATTGCAGGATCATATAGTAGTTCTATTTTTATTTATTTGAGGAACCTTCACACTGTTTGTCATTGCATCGATTTACATTCCTACCAACAGTACACAAGGGTTCCCTTTTCTCTGTATCCTCACCAACATTTACAATCTCTTGTCTTTTTTATAATAGCCATTTTAACAGGTGGAAAGTGATAGATAGCTCAATATGGTTTTGATTGCATTTCCCTGGTGATTAGTGATGTTGAGCATCTTTTCATGTACCTTTGGGCCTTTGTATGTCTTCTTTGCAAAAATGTTTAATCAGTTCTTCTGTCCATTATGAAATTGGATTTTTTGATGTTGTTGAGTTCTTCAGTTATTTTGGATTTTAATCCTTTATCAGATGTGATTTGCAAATATTTTCTCCTATTTCATTTTGTTGGTTTCCTTTGCTGTGCAGAAGCTTTTTAGTTTGATGTAGTCCCCTTATTTATTTTTTCTTTTGTTGCCTTTACTTTTGTCATACAATAAATTTTTAAAGTAATTCTCCTGATATTAAATGTAATTGATGTCCATTGAGAAAATCTGGCAAATACAGAAAAATAAATATTGTGATATTTCATCATTTTTCTTTAGTTTCTTTTTTGGTACTTCTCGATTTTAAAATGTAGCCTTGTCCTGACCAGTTTGACTCAGTGGTTAGAGTGGGAGGGAGAGAGAAGAAGAGAGAGAGAGAAACATTGATGTGAAAGGGACACATCGAGTGGCTGCCACCCACACGACCAACCAGGGCCGGGGACAAACTGCAACCGAGGTACGTGCCCTTAGCGGGAACCGAACCTGGGTCTCTCTGGACCACAGGCCAACACTCTAACCGCTGAGCCAAACTGACCAGGGCTGGTTAGGACATTTTTAATAAGATAAACTTACTGGCTTGATACAATATTTAAAGGTTAATGTTCTACAAACTATTATTTTGTTATAGGAAGAAGTATTCATTTAGTGTGTTCGATTGCTTTCTTTCGCAGAAAGAATACTCCTGTGGGGAGAGGAATCTTGAAGGTGTATTTTGAAGCTCTACCTCCACTACCACTTCTTGTTGTGGTGAATGTGCATTCAGGTGGCCAAGTGTTTGCGTTTCCTTCGGATCAAGCCATAACTGAACAGAACCTTTTGTTGTGGCTTAACAAATTGGAAGCAGGACTAGAAAGTCATATCAGTGAGTTTTCTCTTTTGTTTAATGCATGCCATTATGTATTTTGTTTCATATAGTTTTAAACTTGAGTGATAGCTAATGAATGCCAGAATTAGTTGAATTGTAATGTTTGTAAGTATCACAAATATTATGCTAATAGCATGGGACAGTCTTCTATGTGATAGGTATTATTAACCACAGAAGATAAGTACCATTGTATTAAATTTAATAATAATAGCTAAGTTTTTTTTAATCATCATTCAAGAACATGCTCTCATTGATTTCTAGAGAGAGAGAGAGAAGGAAATATCGCTGTGAGAGAGAAACATTGATCCATTGCCTCCCATACACACCCCAACCTAGGATCGAATCTGAAACCTAGGTACGTGCCTTGACCAGAGATTGAACTACAACCTTTTGGTGTAAGGGATAGTGCTCCATCCAACTGAGCCACCTGGCCAGGGCTATAGTAGTTAACATTTATTGAATGCTTACTAGGTGTCTAGCACAATGCCAAGTTATTCACATGCATTATCTCATTTAATTCTCACAAGAGTCATGTGAAGTATTATCAAGTGTAGAAGAGTTAAGTACCTATTTAAAGGTCATATAATTAACTAGTAAGTGAGGGGGCTTGGATTCCAACCTGGTTCTTTTTTGTTCCAGAGCCAGAATTTTGAATCACAAGAAAATAGTTCTTGGCTTAGGATTTATGATACTGGCTCATAACATACCATAGTTTCTACTTTTCTAAAATGCAAATGTATACTTGTGGTATAGATGCATATGTTTATTTATATATAATTATGACAACAATGGGCCTGTTGATATAATTTAAATAAGTTAATATGTCATGACTTAAATCACTAGTATATTGAGGAAACAATATGAAATTTGATGTAATGAAAGGTCTCCTAAGGTACTCTCCATGAATTTTGTTATTGAATACCACATAAACTATATTATAATAATATTTTGACACTGTTTCATGATAGAATCCCAAAATAAGGGATGTGTCTATGTATGTGAATATGTATTTATATGTACACACACAAATAGTTCTGGTGTACACACTCCATTCAGTGTTATATTGTCTCTCAACCAGCATGCATAGTTTGAATATACTATTTTGCATATTTGTGTATATTTCATCAGATACTTGAATTTATTTTAAGTGTCAGTCATTGTAGCACACCTGTTCTTCCAGGTGGTCTGCTTTATTTCAGTTAAATTAGGCAGTTTAACTAAATTATTATGTCTAAGTAGCCTATAGATGGTATTTTTATATTGAAATATAATTCACATACCATAAAATTCCCCCTTTTAAAGCTTACAGTTCAGTGGTGTTTTGTATATTCACAACATTGTACAACCATTAATACTGTTAAATTCTATAATATTGTCATCACCCCAAAAAGAAATCCCATACCCATTAGTAGTCACTCCCCACTCTTTCCTTCTCTCCCCTCCTCCCGACAACTACTTATTTGTCTTTAAGATTCGCCTAATCTGGATATTTCATATAAATGGAATCACTTAGCATAGGTTTTCAAGGATCATTCATGTTATAGCATGAATTACTATTTCATTTCTTTTTATGGATGAATAATATTCCATTGTATGGATATACCACATTTGTTTTTTCATTCTTCAGTTGATGGGCATTTGGGTTGTCTTTTTAAGTATTATGAATGATGCTGCTCTAAATATTGATGTACATGTTTTGTGTCTGTCCAAAGCTCAGGTGCCTTATGACAGTACCGCACTGTCTTTCAATGCTATAGAAATTTGATTTCTCCAACTTTGTTCTTAATTTCCACAGTTATTTTGGCTATTCTGTATAGTTTTAGATGATATTTCTAAGTCATAAATTTTATGAGATAACTTTAGTTTTTGTTTTTTTTTATCCTCACCCGAGGACGTTTTTGCATTTATCTTCAGATAGAGCGGGAGGGAGAGGGGAAGGAAGAGAGAGGGAAACATTGATGTGAGAGAGACACATTGAGTGGTGGCCACCCACACGACCCCACCTGGGGCCAGGGACAAACTGCAACCGAGGTACGTGCCCTTAGAGGGAACTGAACCCAGGACTCTGGTCCACAGGCCAACGCTCTAACCACTGAGCAAAACTGGCCAGGGCTAGTTTTAATATTTTCATAGGAAATGTGCAAAGTAATTAATTAAATTGACTATCTTGTTTAAATCATAATCTGGAAGGAGGCTTTTTTTGTGGTGATCACTCATCTCTGACTTCTTCATTGTAGCCACATGAATTCTCCAGATAGTCTGGAGTGTGTTCACTTCTGTCTGCATTACTGTTTTACAGAACCAGAAGAGTATTGACATTTTGTAGCTGCTGTGAAACTGAGGCCCCATGGACCCTGACTAAGTCAGATAGGATTATATGTAGCTAAGGCCAGGGAACCTCTCAAATGGATTGCTTTAAAAAAAAAAAGCCCTGGCCGGTTTGGCTCAGCGATTAGAGCATCAGCCTGCGGTCCCGAGAGACCCGGGTTCGGTTCCCCCTAAGGGCATGTACCTTGGTTGCAGTTTGTCCCCGGCCCTGGTCGGTCGTGTGGGTGGCAGCCACTCGATGTGTCCCTTTCACATCGATGTTTCTCTCTCTCTCTCTTCCTCTCTCTCCCTCCCGCTCTATCTGAACAAAAAATGGAAAAATGTCCTCGGGTGAGGATAAAAAAAAATTAAAAAAAAAAAAAGTGATAATGTTTAAAGTCACACAAATCTGAGGTTATGATCCAGCCTTTTAAATTAATAACTGTGTGTCTCTAGGCAATCTTTCTTTTTTTTTTTTTTTTATCCTCACCCGAGGACATTTTTCCATTTTTTGTTCAGGTAGAGTGGAAGGGAGAGAGAGGAACAGAGAGAGAGAGAGAAATATCGACGTGAAGGGACACATCAAGTGGCTGCCACCCACACGACCAACCAGGGTCGGGGACAAACTGCAACCGAGGTACGCGCCCTTAGCGGGAACCGAACCCGGGTCTCTCAGGACCGCAGGCCGACGCTCTAACCGCTGAGCCAAACCGGCCAGGGCTAGGCAATCTTTCTTCATTTTCTCCTCTACAACTGTAAAATGAGATTAATAGTTCCTACTCTGACTATCTCACGTTTATTTTTAAAAATAAATAAAATTATGTATGCAAAGTCACTTTAGTGTGAAATCTGAAGTATCATCATGATTCATGTAAAGATCCTTTTCTACAAGGAACATACTAGGGGCACTTGGATTCCTCAACTCAAACCATTGCCAGAGGAAAGAATCAGAATTATTCTTCTAAGTTTCCTGAGAGAGTGGTATATCTTCCATTGCAATTTTTTTGTTTTCTTGTTTTAATCCTCACCCAAGGACATGCTTAGGGGGAGAGAGAGAGAGAGAGAGAGAGAGAGAACCGATGTGCAAGAGAAACAAAGATCAGTTGCCTTCCATACATGCCCTGACTGGAATCAAACCAGCAACCTTTTGGTGCATCAGATGACTGTCAACGAACTGAGCCCCTCTAGCCAGGCATTCCTTTGCAATTTGGATGAAAACCTTTGCCAACTCACTCTTTGAGGAGTCTCCATTATTTCTTTGTTTCACTGCTCCTATTCTTAAGTTATTCTTGCAGCCCCTGCAGCAGGGAAGAAGTAAACCGAGCGGTACTTGTCTGTATTGGGTTCCGTCTTCTTGTGCTGGCAGGGCCTGCTTGCACCACTCTTTGGGAGAGCGATCTTAGGTGGGGTCTTGCAGCTGAGTAGCCTGGCTCTGTAATGGTGCCACAGGTGTCTGCCTCACTGTGCTTGCTGCAGCTCTTAATATCTGTGAAATTGTGGCCACTGGTTACTTTTATTTGAGATTTACACTTAACTTGGGTCAAGTTCTCTGCCCTTTGTAGGCCTTGGCTTTCTCATGTATAAAACTGGGATAATAATTGTACTTACCTCATGGAATTGCAAGGTTAAAATGGATAATGCCTGGTATATAGTGGCTCAATAAATGTTAGCTACAATAATCATTACTAATTTGATAATAAAGTATTTGTTACCCATACATAATGAGAGAAGATTTATTTGCAGTTGAAAACAGTAAGACGTTTGTAGTATTCCCTTGACAAATAATTAGCAGAATTGTGATACCCAGTTCTAGGCATTTTGTCATCCTCTCAGCCCACTGGACTGCAGTGTTTATTTATTTATTTTAGTTTTCATGTTTTTATTGATTTTTTTAGAGAGAGAGGAAGGGAGAGAGAGAGAGAAACTTTGATGTGAGAGAAAAACATTGATCAGCTGCCTCCTGCACCCCCTCTCCTGGGGATCAAGCCTACAACGCTGGCATGCGTCTTGACTGGGAATCAGACTGGGACCTTTCAGTCCATGGGACAGCGCTCAATCCACTGAGCCACACCAACCGAGCCTGCAGTGTTATAATTGTTTTTATAAAATTATCTCGTTGTCACAAAGTGTGTGCAAAAGATGTTAAAAGCTTCAAAACAGAAAATGTTTTTAAAATGTTAGGAAATACTTGTCTAGATAATAAATAAATATGTATGTGCCAAAAACTTTTTTTGGGCTGATACATAAGAAATAGTTCCAGTTCTTGGGATAAAGACAGAGTTAGTGAGGGAAGTGGGAAACATTTTCAGTTTTAACTTGTACCTGTTTGTGTGGTAATCTCTTAAACATATTGCAATTTTCTAAAACCTCAAAAGGATTAACTGGCATGGAGATTATGGATCTTTGTTTTCTTCCTATTAACTAACCTTTATTTAGAATATAATAGCTTGCAAATATAAAAAATAAAAATGGCTAGTAATGAGAAATGTATAAAATTTCCTACACAATGTAGTAAAAAATATGGTTTTGTTTAGGTAAGTAAAACTGGTAAAGTTTTCACTTCTACAGATATATCTTTCAAAATAAAACATTTTCTAGTATATTTATGTGATGATTTCTTTGTTCATCTTTAACCCTTGATTGTTATCTTTTTTTCCAGAAATTTTATCTGCACAGGAATGGAAACCTCTTCTTCCTTCTTACAATTTTCTAAATATGATGGATGCTGCAGCATCTCAGCATCCCACCAGGAAAGGTCCTGAGTGTATGAAAGAAGGTGGTATTCAGGAGAATGATAAAGAACAACATGAAGATAAATCAGCAGTAAGAAAAGAACCAATTCAAACATTGAGAATAAAGCACTGGAATAGAAATGATGTATTTAAAGCAGAAAAAGCATCTAGGCATGATAATGAGGAGTTATGACACTCAAAATTGAGCTAATGTAATGGGACTGTGGAGAGCTTTCCTAATTCTCTTTGGCTTGTTTAGTAGACTTAAAATTTATTTCATTAAAAAATAATACTAAATTATTTCAAGTTTCTAGACCAGTGCTATTCAACAGAAATAGAATGTGAGTTATATATGTAAGTTAAAGTTTCCTAGTAGCCACGTTAAAAAAAAAGTACAAACAAGCAGGTGAAATTAATTTTATAATATATTTCAGAGTATACCCCAAATAATTCAGTTAACATAAACATTAGATATTTTATATTTTTTATTTTATATCAAGTGCGTATTATATACTTATTGCACATTTCACTTTGGAGTAGCTACATTTCAAGTGCTCAGTAGCAACACGTGGCTAGTAGCTACTGTATCAGACAGCTCAGCTCCAGATAAGAACTGGTATAGTTACTTTTGGTAACATCAAGAGTCATTTTTGATTAGGGGTATCACTGGCATCTAGTGGGTAGAGGTCAGAGGTGCTGCTAAACACCCTATCATACATTGGATAGCCTCCCACAACAAAGAATTATCCCGCCCAAATGTCAGTAGTACCAAGGTTGAGTAACCCTGTGTCAAACTAACTCGTGGCAGAGTGGGCTCCCTGAATTTTCAGGTCTACTCAGTTACCGTGTTTGAAAAAAAGCTTAGGTATTAAATATTAGGCAGTGTTATCCTGATTATTATCGGGACACAACCTTATCTTTTCTTATAAATTCTTTTAATAGTATTTTTTTAAAGTAATGACATAACCCTAAAAAGAACTTAGTGATATATATTATGTATATAGCACAATATAGTATATACATATATATCACAATATAATATATATTATGTTAGGTATATTATATATTCTCTATAAAGAGAAGCATATTATATAATAGAATATATGACAATTCTTATATATAATAATGTAGTTCTCATATATATATAAAATATACATGTAAAAGAGAATCTTCAAATCTTCTTTTATTTCTGTAAGTTGTGTTACTAAATTTCAGATTGAATAGGAATTAACATTCTGTCATTCTCCTTAAAAAAAAAAAGGCTCCCTCATCTGAACCACGTGTGAAATCTACCCTTGTAAGCTTTATAACAAGCGGGTGAGATTAACCAAAAAATAATTTTTCATTCCAACAGCACTTGTCAGGCTTATCTGTTTGTAGCAGTAGTTTGTCTCATTTTTGCTCTGTGCATTTTTCAAGAGCTTTGTTAAGACCATCCTATTTGGTGCTCCACTGTATTTCTCATTGTTATATCTACGTAGTATATCCTGTGCTTGAAATTTTCTCCACATACAGTTTGCCTAGCACAAATGACTTTTATAAGTGGAATTTTAAAAAAAATCACAAACTGCTAAATTTCCATAAATGCATATATTTCATTGTAACATAGGCCATTTGTAACCTCTGCTCGATTTTCTCCTGTGTAGCATGTGATGTGTCTTTTAGTTCACTCCCATTTGCTTTTATTTCCAACGTGGGAGATATGAGAGTGAACTCTAAATGTAATTTATAATAATAAACATTGTCAGCATAATCATTAGAAAATGCTAATTAACTACAAGCACAAAGAAACATAGAATTGATTAATCATTGTACCAGAGCCAACAGTTTTGACAGTTATTAATTTATGTCCTTTTAACAATTTTTTAAAAAGTGTCTGGATTTCAGGTTACTTTCAAAAGGTTTCTTTGGCTTCAGTAACGCCCTCTATTATACTATAAACCCTGGATCAGTTGGGTTTCTTTGGTTGCAAGCAACACAGATTCAACCCTGGTTAACTTCAGCAAAATGGGAATACAGTTGTCTCTTGGTATCTGAGAGGGATTGGTTCCAGGGCCCCTCCCCTCAGATACCAAAATTCGAGGATGCTTAAGTCCCATATATAGAATATCATAGTATTTGCATATAACATATTTACATATAGGCTACAGCAGGGTCTGCCTACACATCACTTCATTCGTGTGGATTCAGCATAGTGCTGGGCATGTGGCAAATTCAAGTTTCGTTCTTTGAAACTTTCTGGGGTTTTAAAAGAAAATTTTTTGATCCACAGTTTGTTGATTCCATGGATGCAAAATTTATGGACATGGATAGTCGACTGTATTGGGAAATTCACAGAGTTAGAAGAAAAATTAAACAAAGATAGTAATGAAGAAAAGTTAGGAACCAAGAATCTATGTTGCAGGAACTAACAGCTCAGTGTTGAATTAGTTCCAAATGTTTTTCTAATCTTTCATGATTCAGGGAGTCCTGAGAAAGTTGGTTAGGGGAAGAGTAAGCACTACCATGTAGAAGAGGTAAATTTCACTAAAGAAATCTGGATTCTGTTTCCCAGAAAAAGTGAGAGTGCGAGTGGAGGGGAGGAAGAGGCATGACTGTGGAGAGGCTCCTCGCAACTCCACTTGCTGCTCTTCCATGTGCCCTTTGTCTCCTCTTCAGACCTTTCTGTCACAACCCTCCGTTCACTTTAGAGAGCTTCAAGAGCCCTCGCTCTACCCCCGAGTGGTTGTAGTTTTCCCGTATGTCCCTCAGTCCTCTATAAGACTTGTTGGCCAGTGCATATGTACATGTTGTACCTTATTCCTCATTAATCAGATTCTCTCTTTCCTACCTCACCTGTTGGAAAGTAAACATCCTTGGCCCATTGCTTCCAGCCCTTGTGTTGAAATTTTCCATGAGCTGTTTTTCCAAAATTCCTGGAGTTCATTCCTCAAGCTGTGCTTCTTTGAAAAACTAATTAAACATGTTTGTGTGCTGAACAGTAAGAGTTTGCAGATCAGTGAGTGCCTGTCTTTGGTAGTAGAAAGTAGTCAAATTGGTATACGTTGAGAACTGTGCTTCCACTTAAGATGTAGAAAGCTGAATGAGAATGTTACTCCCATCCTCACAAGAAAAAAAACTCATAAATTCTTATACCCATCAGAGAAGGCAACCAAAGGTACTGGATTCCAGAGTGACAAGCCTTTTCAAGGAGAGACAAGATATATGAACTGTGTCACCTTTGGCAGAGAATCAGAGGCTGCCAGTAAAGCAAGTAAGAACAAATTATCAAGAATTTGGAAAAGTTTAAAATTTTACCCTACCTGCAAATTAGCTTGCCACAGTTTCATGAATCGGGGACAGAGGACTTGATTACTCACTGTAATAGCCTTCCTCAGTGTCACTATTCATGCTGGTTCCCTGACTCCGCTCTTTCAGGGGGTTGCATTATAGGGGAGGAACTCTTAAGCTCAGGGAACCTAAATATTTGATAATGGATATTAAGTATGCCTGCTCTTTGCTCTGAAAGAAGACATTTATTATAGTGGAGAGTAATCAAACCTGTCTTCTGGAGAGAGAGAAGGTATTTTCCCAGGCTGAAAAGCTAGTCCAGAACCAAGGCGGTCAGTGCCTCTATTCACAAATCAAGCCAGGAACATGAGAGACCCAGGAAGAATTGTCTCCCAACAGAAATCAGATAAAATTTTAAATAATTCTTTAAAAGCCAAGTATGGACTAAAATATTAGCCTAGAATAAGTGGGAACTCTGATTTGATGTTAGTTCAAGTTCACTCAGGAGTTTCTTTCCACCAGCATCCACGGGGCGCTTGTAAGAGCAATTGGGGCAGGAACCTGGCTGGAAGAGATTCCTCAGTGACACAGACATGCACGTAGTGGATGATAGAATGACACTCGGTGGAGGATGTGAAACACTGTCTACTTACTCACACCTTCCTCTTGTGTGAGTAAAAACCATTACTAGCCACTATAGAAGAGAGAGCAAACCTTCCTGCCTCCGCATCCCAAGCAGAGATCCACTGGGGAGAGACAGGAAACCTTGGGCCCTGGGTCCTGCACCACCAAGCAGAGACCTGCTATTACTAGAAGTACAGGAACATTTCTCCTGTTCAAAACCCATGAGAAATGGCCATGTTTCACTGCCATGGGGGAGGAGGTGGAAATTCTGAGAAAACCCCACCCTAGGCCCCAGGTGCCCAGCCCTACCTAAGTCTGAGAATGCACAAGGAGAACCAAGAACTTCTACCTCCACCCATCATCAGCTCAGTATCAAATAACAAGCAGCAGTTTACACTTTGATAGGCACAAGACTGAATGGCACAGGTAAGCAGGACTTGCTAAATGCTGAGAGTGGAGCGGGAAAACAAGCCCTCTGGCACCCAGGACCAACTCTAAGCACAAGCCAGTCCCTGGAGGAACATGCACCGGTGGTGCACCAAAGGTAAAAATAAAATCTAACCTGTTCAGTCTCCCACATGGCCAGCTGTAAATACTATTATCTGTCTCTGCTATTCTCTGCAAGATGTGTGTCATTCAGTTTAAAATCCTAGGACTAAAAAAATATAGTAATAGAAAATTCATTGTCAAATGGTAAAACATGGCCCAGATGTTGGAACTTTGAGACAGAGACTTAAAAATAACTATGATTAAGGTGTTAACAGAGTTAGTGAAAAAGGTGGGTAACCATATGAATATTTGGGCAATTTCAGCTGTGATGGAAATGCTAGCAATAAAACAAAACAAAATATGCCAACAGCAATGAAGAATGCCTCTGGTGGGTTCATCAGTAGACTTGGCGCAGTTGAGGGAAAAAATCTGAACTTGAAGATAAGTCAATGAAAATTATCCAAAGTGGAGTACAAAGAGAAAAAAATGAATGAAATAAGACAGATGATTCAAAAGCTGTGCAATACTATCACATTGTCATACATGTCATTGAAATTCCAGGAGAAGAGAAACCAAAGCAGAGTACTTGGAGAATAATGGCTGAGGAATTTAAAAAATAAAAGAAAGAAAATGCATCACAGTTCTAAGATGCTCAGAGAAGCCCAGGTAGGATAATTTAAAAGTAAAACACCTAGACACATCACAGTCAAATTACTACAGACCAAAGATAAAGAGAATATTGTGAAAATAGAGCAAAGAAACAGATTCTCAATCTCCTCTCATGCTTTCTCACTCTCTCCATTTTTAACCCTTTAAAAAATATAT